CAGTTCTCACAAGCCTGAAATTGATAGCAAAACCATTTCAATTAATGGCAAAGAATATCAAGAATTAAGATAAAAGGACAGAATTCACGAAATAAGGCTTGGACAGCTGTGTGTATTTTCAAGAATGGCAAATTCATGTGAGGCAAAACAAATATGGTAGTGATTTTTCATTTCTACGATTTTATATTCAATTTCCATAGGCAGAACTACCATATAGATCGTTCTAAGGTTGAAATTTATCTGCCAGAGTACAAACTAAAGATTAGTGTACATAAATTACTGTTTTTAGGTCCATTTGTTTCACAAGAATGGAAATTTCAAAATTTCCAATTCTCACAAACTTAAATTGTCAAGAGAACTAAACCATAAAGAACTTGAACTTGTCTGAATATCCTTAACAAGATCACCATACGCTTGATTTACACGTTCCTACTTAACATAAATGGACAGTGTTAAGAGACCACCAAATTCAGCATAATAACACTCAATTCTTGAACATTTTGACTTGTTTTTCTCCAGAATTTCAAGGTCCCTCCATGGAGGAGGTACTGCTTTGTGAAAGTCCAGCAAAAATTGTCTTTTGTGACAAATATTAGTCAATGCCTTATTTTTTTTTTTTTGAGCAATAAACCGAGACTATAAACAATACATAGGAAGTTGAACTTACTTTAAAAGCACCTAGCTTGCCATCTTTACTGTGAGTCCCCTCTGGGAAGAAGAAAACTGATGCTCCTTTCTTGACAAGAGCTATACATTGCTTAAGACACTCCTACATTCATTATTCTACCAAAATCAGAAACCAGGGTTGCAAAGGGAAACTTATTAATATCAGTGATGCATTGTAATCAGATCAAGCAAACTCAAAAGGCAGAATATCCTTGATTCACAGAAAAATGATACAAAGAAGAAACAAATACCAACTGGCTCCTGCTGTCCATGCGCTTCAAAGGAATTACACCCATCAGAAACATGGCCCACCCGATAATTGGAAAAAGGAAAATTGCAGTCTTGCTAATGAATTGGTTCAATTCTTATTCAAATTCCTCTAATGGGGGAGCTAGTAACTTT